CTGTCCTACAGGTGGAGTGACTAACTGACGATAAAAATCCCGAGATGAAATTCACCTGTCCTACAGGTGGAGTGACTAACTGATGATAAAATCCCAAGAAGAAATTCACCTGTCCTACAGGTAGAGTGACTGACGATAAAATCCCAAGATGAAATTCACCTGTCCTACAGGTAGAGTGACTAACTGGAACTAGTGGTGGAGTGGGAACCAGATCACAGCTCAGTGCAACCAGAAGACACGGCCTCACCTTCTGAAAGGTTATTCTCTGGGACTCTAAAACTGAACTTAAACATCCTGGCTCATGTAGCCAGCTGCTCTGGGATCAAATGGCCTCAAGCCAATACACAATATATTAAACTTACCTAGGCCCACCTACCTGGAGCCAGCACACACAGGAGGAAAGGGGCGGACAGACAATGCAGTCCTAACCTGCTCACTATCACCGGGTACAGCCTGATGACTTAGGAGAAAAAGCAGAAAGTCCTGCTTACCTCTGTATCCAGAGTCTGCAAAGCACATAAAGGTGTTCCTTGGAATGCAAAACTTTTCAACAACGAAAACGCTCTCTTTTCTCATTTCTAAAACTGTAACTGACTTTCCCGAAAGTCTCAGTGTTATGACATGAAAACAGAAAAATCAGTTGGACCCAAGCCAGGAAGGTCATAATAAGTTAGAATTATTGTTATTAGTAAACACTTATTTAACTGTATGCATTATGTGAAGCCTACACATGATACATATAAACTCATTCAATTCTTATAATAACCTGATGAAGTAGGTACTACTATTATTCCCACTTTACAGATGAGGAAACCAAGGTAGGAAGGGGTTAACCAGCTTGCCCGTGATCTCACGCTGAGTAAGTGGCGTAGCTGCGATTCTAACACAGGTTGTCTGGCTCCAGAGCTGGTGTCCTCTGGCCTTTATTGTAACAGAAACAACCGCAGACATTTCCATCTGTCGGCCAGGCAGTAGGCTGAGCCCTTTATATGCACTATCCCATAGGCTTTTCATCACCGTATCAGTTACACACCATTGATGCCCCCACTCACATTGGAAGACCCAGAAGGGAAGCTTAGAGAACTTAAGGAGCTTTCTTAGGACCCACAGCCAGTAAGTGGCAGAAGCAGGAGTCAAAGCCACTTCACACCCTCCCTGCCATTGTTCTAACGAATCTCCTCCAGCCTGGTCTTCTGGTCCAAGCCTACAGACTGCGTTACAGTAGGACGCCATCATGTTAGGGCTCCTGGGTCCTCCTTGAAGACACAGAGCACTGACTTTTATTCTCAGAGCTCAGGCTCAACAGGTTTCCTGGCCCATCATTTTCTAGTTCTTAAAGATAATGATCCCAGCTTAACATAGCTCATAAAGAAAATGTTCTACGTCCTACTTTGGTGAGTAGCATCTGGGGTCTTAAAAGCTTTCAAGTGGCCATCTAAAATACATCTATCTGCCCCATCACGTTTGGAGCAAAGGAGAATGAAGAAAACCAAAGACATAAGGAAAATATGAGTCCAAAGGACTAATGGACCACGTGAACCACAGACTCCACCAACCTGAGCCCAGAAGAATTAGATGGTGCCCGGCTACCACCACCAACTGCTCTGACAGGGATCATAATAGAGGGTTCCAGGCAGAGTGGGAGAAAAATGTAAAATAAAATTCAAATTCACAAAGAAGACCAGACTTCTTGGTCTGACAGAGACTGGAAGAACCCCCAAGACTATGCTCCCTGGAACACCCTGCTAACTCAGAACTGAAGTCCACCTTTCATCCAAAGATTACCCATTGCCTTTGAGCCGATTCTGACTCATAGCGACCCTACAGGACAGAGCACAATGGCCCTACAGGGTTTCCAAGGAGCTGCTGGTGGATTTGAAATGCTGACGTTTTGGTTAGCAGCTAAACTCTCAACCACGGCGCCACCAGGGCTCCTATCCAAAGATTAGACAGTCCTATAAAACAAACAGTAACACATAGGGAACTGCTTCTTAGCTCAGTCAAGTATATGAGACAAAATGGGCAACTCCTGCCCAAAAGCAAGACAAGAAGGCAGGCAGGGGCAGGAAAACGGGACAAATGGACACGTGAGGTGGAAAGGAGGAAGGGTGCTGTCATATTGTGGGGATTGCAACCAATGTCACAAAACAATTTTGTGTATAAATTTTTGAATGAGAAACTGATTTGCACTGTAAACTTTCACCTAAAACACAATTAAAAAAAAAAAAAGATCCCATGTCCTGTGCTGCTAGGGTCTGCCCAGACAGAACACCCCGAGGACGCTCTGTGGCTGTCCTGGGGCAAGAGCCTTGAGGAAGTCATCCTGTGCAGTCAGAGGCTGAGGGACAGTGCATGACTTAGACTGCATTAATTCAGCTTCAACATCTCATAAGCTTCTACCTACTTTATTATCAATACCCAAAACTCCTGACAGCCTTGTTGGTTGCTGAGAAAGAAGTCTGGGCTATGTGGTAATATCCTGTGATTTCTGTGAGTTGTGAATCATTATCGTTCCCGGAGGAATGGCAGGTGGGATGAAGCTAGGTGATACATTCTGCGGCAACTCTCCCCAAGAAACACTTACCTTCTCCTACACCACCGATCTCCCGCCCATCAGGGGCAAGGCTACGCTGACAGCATTTGAGAGACTCAAATAATGCAGGCAGACAGACACTTTCAATCATCAGGGAGATTTGTCAGTTAGGAAAGGAAGGCCAAGAGAAGAAAATCAGAGACTAACTGGAGGGCTTTAAGGGGAAGGTCACCGCTAAGAAGAAAGACACTGGGAGTTCCCAGGAAGATGAAAGGGAATAACAAATCCACAGGTGGAAGCAAACTACTGAGTTTTATAAAAAGAGCAGGAGAAACCAGGGCCCGTGAAAGCCACGCGCTTGTGGAAGAATGGGAGGGAGCCAGAGACTTTCCAGCACGGAAAGTTGTAGACACCGTCAATCCAAGCAGATCACTTTTAGTTTTAGACTATTCATATTTAGCATTATTTCTTAGACATAAATTTCCCCTGGTTCTCGTATTACAAAGCCTAACGGACTTTATCATCTTATTACTATCTGCATGTGGTACAGAGTCCTTGAGTGGTACAAACGGTTAACACGCTCAGCTGCTAAAGGAAAAGGTTGGTGATCAGAATCCACCCAGAGGCACCTCAGAAGAAAGGCCTGGCCGTCTACTTCCAATCTCCTTCCGAAAAATTGGCCACTGAAAACCCTGTGGAACACGGTTGTACTCTGACACACACTGGGTCGCCATGAGTCAGGGTCGACTGGGCGACAGCTGCTGGTGGTGGTGGTGGTATACGGGAAACTAGGAAAGCTAGTCCTCAGCAGAGTGGCTGAGTTTTGTTGGGAATGAGGTACGGTGGAAAGAGCTCTGAGGTAGGAGGGGTCGGACACATTGCTCCTGGCCTGACCCTAGTCCCACATAGTGATGTGAGTCTGGGCAAGTCACTGAACTTTTCTGGGTGGGCTTCCACATCTCATCTGAGAGTACAGTCCAGCTCGGAAGGTCTCTAATTCCAAAGTGTCACCACAGCGCCCATCCGAAATCTCAGAGGCTCTGCCGGAAGGTGCCGCGCCGCACACTTACTAGGTAACCTGTCAGATGAAAGACAAGGCGCTTCGCGGTCAGCAGCGCCCTCCCATCCTCCCGGGGTCCCCCGACCCGAGAGGGAGGGCGACGTCAGCACATGGCTGATTGGTGAAGCAGCGGTTCCAGCGGCCAAGAGGTCGGCTTCTAGCGCCTTTCAGGTCTCTGGGATCCGCGCCGCCTCACGTTCCCAGCGCGGTCCGCACGGCCTGTTGACCGGGCCGCGCCGCGGTTGCTAGGCTACGGCCAATCAGGGCGCGACTCCGCTACCGGCCCCGCCCACCGAGCGTGCCGGCCTCGCGGGGAGGTGAGCGCAGACCGTGGG